CACCCACCGACTCCAATCCAACCGCGGGCCAGAGTCCATAACACACGTACCCACTCCGTAATCCTCACTGCTGTGGTCATGGCTGTTACCGTCCTCGCTGCTATGGTCCTCACTGCTGTGGTTCTGACTTTCGCCCGGACCCTGTTCCGTGTCATCCAGACGGAAGTCCTCTAACAGCTCACCCTTATCTTTCGAGCCAGACACGGGAGCTGAACCGGCTCCCTCACCAGAACCCCCGTCGCCAGCACCTCGATCAGAGATTTGACTTATAGGAGCGTTGTGGTTAACAGAGTTGTTGTTCGCAGTGTTGTTGTTCACAGTATTGTTGTTCGCAGTGTTCACAGTGTTGTTGTTCACAGTGTTGTTGTTCGCAGTGTTGTTGTTCGCAGAATCCAGGAACGATGACGAAGAACCTGGATCCGGTCCAGATGACGAGGGGTTTCGAACCCCAGGATTCGAACCGAACGGAAGCTCGTTCGTTCTAGACGGATAGTACAACTCGTCCGAAGCTGAGCGTCTAGTAGGCGTCAAACTTCTTAAGTGCCCGGACACAGAGTGATCAAACTCATGGCTTACAGTTTGGGCATGCTTCAAGGAAGATCCACGGACATTCTCGACGAGTCCTGAAACGGTATTTTCGGCAGACTCAACTCCCGAGCTGATCCCGGCAACATTGGAGCTCAACGTTTCACACATCCCCAGCCGATTATGGTACATATCTTTGGAATGACTCGCAGGGGGATTGCTCTCGATTGTAGTGTGCACTGTGTTAGCACGTGTGTTTTTAGCACACTTTTTTTCTGACTGGTCCTTTCCTCTTCCGGGTGAAGAAACGTTGGCTGTTCCAGAGAAAGAACATACGGGTTCCTGTCCATTAACGAATCTGTTAATTTTGTCCCGGAGATGAAGTAGTTTTTTTTTCTTTATTTTCGATGCAATTACTACCAGTTCAACACACAACGCAATTACATGAAATAACGTTGATGCCTCTTTGATTGCTTCGGGGTCTTTAGTGAACAGACTATCCGCAACCTTCTGAACATCATATTTCCTTAATGCACCCAAGTTTATCAATGAGTCACAGGTACACAGTCGTCCACATTGGCCGCATAGATGCAATAGGTCGTCCAAAGCGTGTTGAGAGACTTGGCTAAGTCGTGCCTGCAGTTCCTTAGACAGTGGGTAATTGGCCCGTCTGCTTCCTTCGCGAGTCTTGGGCATCTGCTGAGACACGGGTAGCCGAAGATTCGCTCTTGTGAAAGACATGTGACTCTGCCCTCGGGGCGTACTCCGATGTTCTTCGGACGCCACACCGCCGGTTTGAGATATTTTCTGGTCGGATGTCGGGGCCCCGCGTGCGCTCTGACTGATGCCTGGAGCGCTCTGACTGTTGCCTGGAGACTCAGGAATCGACGGCACCACCTCCAAGGGGCCCGAAACCCCAAAGGGGTTCGACGGCCGCCGCAAGGGGGCGGGACTCAAAGGGTCCAAGTCAATGCTAGTAACGGACGAGGGTTGGGTAAGCACGTGCAGTAGTGCGAACAGGAGGCTTATCAGGTACCCCGGGAGCTGGTCGTAGTACAGCAGGCTTGAGACCAGACTCCAGAGCCATTCGTTTTCATCGATGTCTTCTCGAAGGTAGCTGATCATTCGCGTGCCGGTGGGTGTGACACTATGTTCCTGTACGGTGTGTGCATGCCAACCTAACACGTTGTATACCTTCTGGTACATCTGGCCGTCCTCCATCTCCATCTCCAAATAGATTCGGTCTGCGCTTGAGTGTTCTCCACCCATGGTTGACTGACTCCCGAACTGACTCTTCCAATCCGGAAGGGCCCCCATCCACTCCGAGTTTTTGTGTAGTGGATTGTGGTCCTGGTTGTGCTTCAGCGAACTGTCACTGTGGTGGACGACGGGTTTGCCAAGTTTCATGACACTCAAATACGTGTCTGTCATGTAGGCTTTTGTCGCACGCAGACAGCGAATAATATCGACGGGTAGGAGCAGTGCATGAGTGACACTTTCCAATGTGTATTCCCTAGGTTTGGATAGGACTCCTTCTGTCCAGCTGCTGATTTTGGAGGCTCTGATGGGGTTGGTTAAGATGTGTGTTCTGTGCCAAGTCGCAGGGTGTTCGTCGTTTGGGTCCTTGAGGAAGGAGCGGAGGGCATCGAGGGCGAGTTGTTCAAGAGAGATTAGGAGTTTGCGCAGTCTTCCTTCGCTCACGCAGCTGGAACTCCGCAGGTTCAACCAGTTGCTTGGAATGCAGTCGGAACCAACACGGCAGCAACAACAGTCTTGACCGCGTACCGCAGCGTGTCTACTCATCGCCATGCCCGTAACAGTAAGACTCATGAACGGGATACCGAACGTGTGCGAAAGGAGATATAAGGGAGCGCTCGGAGCTGTCAAAAGGTACACGCAAATTATCTCTAATTCCGGAAACGACGATTCGAACCGCGCTAAGAAGGAATCCAACAGTATTCGACTAGTCATGGGATCCACCAATTTAACTCGACCCGCCTCCGCCCATCCCGCTGCCTCACTCCGACCGTCCTGTAAGCCCGCACCACCCTCACCGTCCGATTTTTCCTTCAACACAGATACTGAAGCAGCACGGGGTCGCGGCTCCAACCCTTGACTCTTGGTCGCCTTCAACACAATTCGCACGTCCCGCGCACACGCCCGCAACCACAAAGGCAATATCACAATCGCCATAACGGATGACATCATACGGACTTGAACGTCCTCATCAAACAAGTCCAGTACATCGGTTAATAATGAAGCATAGTCACATACGTCGTCCACTACCAACTTCAGAACCTTCGCACACGATAAACATAATTTCGGAGCACACCGACACTGAGACCGCTTCTGACTTAGCGCCGACGTGGCGGTGAATAGGTTATGACTAAACTACACAAATATGATTAAACTACACAAATATGATCCAACAGCTTTATCCACAAACAGCGTTCCGCTGGCGCCTTTACAGAAGGCACACACGTGTGTGCTGGTGGTGACGGGCACGTACGCATTGGATAAAACAAGCATTGAGGTCGCTGACAAGGAACTTCATAGCCATCGGCTTCGGTATGTGAGGAAGGAGCTGTAATAACGCGTTGTGCGCATGCGTTTTTAACATAGTATCTTTTTGAGTCGAAAGAATAGCAATCGAAATTAAGATAACTTCCAAATCCGCTCCGTCTGGATACTTCTCGTACACCATATGGGCCGCCAGAGATTTGACTAAAGTGCTAAACCATGCCAGAGTCTCTGTAGTGTCTCCCTTCTCCCATGCGAATTCGTCCTCGAGAAAAAAACTTTCTCTCATCTCGTATCCCATCAGCCCTCTCTGGGGCGCTTTTCCCAATCGTAACTTCAACGTCGTCCTAGATAGGTAGTCGGCAACGTGAAGCTCATCAAATAGAGGATCTGCATACAGACCAAGGATCTACACCAGGGATCGAGAAGGGAAGGGATCGAGAAGGGAAGGGATGGAGAAGGGAAGGGATCGAGAAGGGAGGGGATCGAGAAGGGAAGGGATCGAGAAGGGAAGGGATCGAGAAGAAATTGTCACAGAAACGATGAGATCTGTTAGCTAGTTTACAGATGGAATTATGAGTCTTCTTGCACTGATTTATAGCCATACTGATATTGCTAAGAAACAACGGTATAATATTCAATGACAGTCTCAGCCAGTCGTCTGATCCATCAAATAGAAAGAGTCTGTACAGCTCGTAAGCGTTGTCATAGAGCTCGATGCTCGCAGCCTTGCTAGGAACGTATGAGCTCGAGGCCAGGATACTTTGACTTAGCTTGTGAACAGCTTGTTGAAGTACTTTGGTCTCTTCTGCTCGGGCCTTTCTCGCTTTGAAAAACGAAGTGAGAAGTGTCCCGGAACTCCATTCCTTCTTCTTGCTATGCCATATCCTGCTGATCATACTCTGATTACAAGGTGCTGCCGAACCACCTGTAGCCGTTGCGCCGATGGGCAATCCCGTAACCTCGCCGAATCCGTTTTTCGCACCTCTGAGCAAAGACTGAGCACCTCCAAGAAGGGTTCGGTATCCGAGCAAAATTGGTCCTTTTTGGTCTTGTAAGACTTGTGCTTGCAGAATCCCACCTGGAAGAACTCTACCCGGTATAATGGGTCCAGGTATAATCTGTCCAGGTATCGCTTGTCCGGGGATGATCTGTCCGGGTGCAACTCTGCCTTCAATATACTTAACGTCATCTACTGGAGAATTATTAGCGATGAAGGGTGTAGTTGTGAAGCCGTTTATGAAAGAACCGCACGTGGCCTCTTTCGGGCTGCCATCGGTCGCGCTTTCAGGATGAACTACACCCTGGTTCACTACACCCTGATCAACTACACTCTGGTCCACCACACCCGGGTCCACCACACTCTGGTCCATCACACTCTGGTCCACCACACTCTGGTCCACCACACTCTGGTCCACCACACTCTGGTCCACCACACCCGGGTCCACGGCTACATTTCCGGTCGCTTCTTCTACGTTTCTACTTTCAGTGTTCCCGCATGTCCGATCTTCAGTGATGTTTCGGCCGTGAAGCATGCGATTGCTTCGGCTCCCCCAGAGGTCATCGGAGGCACGGTACATTGCGCCCAGGCTGACCGCCATACGGTGGATGGCGGCATCCTCCTGTTCCGTATATTTATCCAAAATGTCGCCGTATCCGTAAACGCAAAGTAACCGAAGTATCTCGATCACAGGTCGGCTAGTCTGGTGCACGAAATATCCACCACCCCCCTGCTCCATTTTACAGCCCGAGCAGTGTATATAAAAACGCCACGGCCCGAGCAGTCCAAGCAGGGATCGTCTGACAAAAGGAACTACTACCATCTGACTCTCAGCCTAATCCATGCTGAAGTGACTCAAGATGTAAACACTTTGTCTTAGTGCAAATACTTTTGTCTTATCTACCCCAATATTGCCCCGTCTTTGTGTCATACTGTGTGACTGACAAACACTTCATGACCAGAAAATTCACATTTAAGATCTGCACAGCTGAAGCAGTTGTTTACCATTCATGCTAAAAACAGAAATCTTATCGCCACCTTCAACAGGAGATCCAGTGTGTGAAATATCTTCGTCATCTGAGGATGAGTCTGATGATGATGAGGAAGATGCCACTATATCGTCTCCAATGGGTTTTTGCGCACAGGTATTGTATATGTCAGTCCACCATTCGTTCCATTGTCCCGCTTTGGCTTTCTCGGCTCCCAATCCCAGATTTTCAGACCGTCTCTTGATCTGGATAGGCTCCTCTAAGCCATCATGATTCTCACCCAGCCGCTGTCCTCCTTGCCAACCCAACTTCATCAACAAGCTGGACCCAATGTCGGACTCTACTGCTCGCGAGGAAACACCAGTTCCCACCAGCGCCCTCTCGCGATAGTTGCGCGACATCTTAAGGAGGGGCCAATTTTTTTCTCAATTTATTACGACCGGAGATATCTCTGCATAAAAATAGCCGGAGATATTTAAAAACTCGCGGAAAGAACTAACCGCAAGCAACCCCACAAGTGCTGAGTCAAAACGCCTACAGCGAACGGCACCGTCCCACTCGATAACGCCCAAAAATTTAGGAACTTAATTAATTGCAACTTACTCACAATGCTGAACGAGTATGATGAAGACGAGTTGTATGCACAGATAGGAGGGATACTTATTACAGAACTTCTTCACTACATCCTAAACGACATTTCTCTAGGTAACATCAACATAGCGCGTATCATCAAGTCCTCTCCTCCCCAAAACTTTGGACATCTTTTGAAAGATGTTATTGAGCAAATTATTGCCCAACAAAAAGCGGCCCTTGACATCCTAGACGTGAAGAATATTCCTGAAGGGGTTGAAGGAAAAATCTCTCAGGAGCTAGGAAGCTTGCTCTTATCGAAGTTGAAGTTTGTTCCCCCGGAAGAAGATACCGCTGTTGCAGACGCCTCGGAAGAGCAGATTCGGTGTTTACTGGAGGAGCATCTGAAAAAGATATTGGAGCGCAGTGTTGAGCAGAAGACAAGAGAATCGGACGGGCGCACGGTCGAGAAAATTAAGAGTATAAAAAATGCATACGAAAAACTACCATTCCAATGAAACGGTTCGAATCCACCGACCGCCGGTTCGAATCCACCGACCGCCGGTTCGAATCCACCGACCGGTTAAAGGACGCGGTAAAATGAAACTATATCTTCTGTTACCTGGAACCCATAATAGAGGTACCTATTCGAATCTCATCGGTCTCATATTTTATCGCTACATGTTGATCAGCGGACATTCCCATTGACAATTTGAGATGATAATTTCTTCTATTCACGGAAAGCTTGTCACGCAATACTTTCATTGCCATGAAATCCTTTTCTGGATCGTTTTGACTAGCAATACACATCAGACCTCTCCAATCGAGACAGGGACACTCAGCATCTATGTATGCACCAAGCATTTCGACATCAGCAGGGTGAATCCCAGACTTTTGGGGCTCATTGGATATATTGACTTGAATGAAAACTTCAATCATCCTCGTTCCCGTATTACCTCTTCCCAGTTCACTCTGTAACGCATCCGCTGTCCGCTTTGAGTCAAGACTTTCAATTCGTTGAATGAATCGAAATCGTTCATCTTCTCGAAACATCTTAGATAGCTTATTCCGCTGAAGGTGCCCTATAATGCTGATACGGAACTTATCCATGAAGTTAGAATCTAGGCCAAGTAGCTGGTCAATCATGTTATCCAAGTCTTCTTGCCCAGACTGGTCCCGTCCAGACTGGTCCGGTCCAGACTGGTCCGGTCCAGACTGGTCCGGTCCAGACTGGTCCGGTCCAGGCTGGTCCGGTCCAGATTCAGGGGATGCACGATCCGTGCGACAAGCTTCGGCATCCAACAACTCTGGTGTTGATGACCCTCGTGGTGCCGACCCATCAGTCGCCCGCTTCCATGACACCCGCTGGATAGCCGCATTTAAAGCAGCAATTTTATCGATTATCTCCGTCTGGTAATTCTCGCCGAATAACACACTAGAACCGGGATGCTCATGTAATATATCCTTGAACAATCTGACCATTGCATTCAGCGGCTTATACTTCGTAACGATACATATTTCAACCTCTTCTGGTACGGACTTCCTTATGTCCAACCATTTCTCATAAGACATTCTTGAGCAACCAAACGCCCCAGGAGTAG